TACCTTCTATCAGGAGGTGGTCAAGCTGGAAAATGAGTGTAGATGTGGGAATAAGAAGCCAGAATCTGGGCACTGCGCTTTCAACTGTTTTCCCCAGAGCCAGAGGTGCCCAGGGGCCCAGGTCACCCCAGGTACAGGAAGCCAGAGAGCCGAGCTTCCGGCTGCCCCCCAACAAACAGCGGTGACACCAGTACTTTCCCTGCTGGGGTCCCCCACCCCGGCCCAAGTCCTGCTGGCTCTGGGGTTGACTATCCAGTACCTCCCTCCACTTTCTGCCTTTTTCAGGACTTAAAGGGGGTGGGGGGGCGTAGGCCAATTCGCAAGTATGAGTGACCACTAGAAACTTAAGCAAGAAAAAGGCTTTGAGTAAAACAAGCCAGGAGGAAGAGCCTGAAGGAGAACCAGCTTTGTGCTGTGAGGACAGAAAGGGCAGCTGAACTCCCAGGTAAGCACAGATTTTACTTCAGCTCTTCGGTGGATTGTGAAATTCAGGGCAGCTGACTTACTTGCTTACGCATGGCTGACACTAGTAAGACCAGTTAGCATGCTCCTGAGCACACGCCAGTGGACACCTGGCATAAACCATGACCCCGAGTAAGTGGCACACGGATCAAGAACCGACAGCACAGTAATCGGAGCAGGAAGAGCCTGACGGGAAAGGCTTACCGAGCTCTGAGTCAGCAGAGGACGCTAACAAGGAGGATTAGAGCTAACACTCATTCTCTATCTCCTCCAAAGGCTACAGAAAAGAAGGGGTGTGTTTAACTGTAGCATGAAAGATTAAGGTTAGACACTAGAAGGAACTTCTGGTCCAAGTGAGAGAACTGCTAAAATAGGAAGCTGAGATTTCCTGGAAGTAGTTTCCAGGAAAGGGAGAACCTAGACTTGCGGGGGTGGGGGAAGCAGGGCACCTTAGTATTATGGGGGTGCCTAAGAGGGCTCTTCCTCGATCTCACCTCTAGGGTAGGGTTCCCCGGGACCTCACACCTGGCCCTGGCTCTGTTTCCTCCACCCTGAGGCTGTGAGAGGCAGGAGCTGGGGGTGGGTCCCTGTCCCACCTCCAGGCTCCGCCCTGCCCTGCTCCCTGCCAGCCACCAAGGCACACGCACTCACCAGGGCAAACTTGTTGACCTGCACGTAGAGCCGCTGCACCTCGCTGGAGGTCACGGCCATCCCCTTCTGTGCCTGCAGGTAGTAGCGCAGCCACTGTAGCTGGGTCTCCCTCGCAGGGTAGAGGCAGTAATCAACTTCATTCACACCTGGTGGGAGGGAGGCGGCATCTCAGAAGGCCCACCTGGGGCCTCCTCCAGCTCAGGTGTTCCCTGCTTTGCTGGGCGGGGCCTAGGAGTGCAGCCTGCTGGTTGCCTGTAATGTGTAGAGGGTTGACCCCCACCCCATCTGGGGCACTGAGAGCAGCATATTGGTTGAGGGGCAAGGGATAGTCCTGGGCGTGATGGGGACCCCCTGAGCACCACTGTCTCCCCTGTGCCCTATATAACACGATGTCACATTTGGGGCCCAGCACTGAGTCAGGGCTCAGCTGTCTTAGGCCCGATGCTGACCTCCAGTTAACCTCGAACAAGCTCTTTCCTCTCATGGCCCAAACCTCTCCGTTGCAAACGAAGGGCTCTGTGTGACTCAAACGCTGCTTCCTGCGGGCCGGCGACTCAAACATCATGGAGCGTGTTCACAACAGGTTCCAAGGCACCTGCCCCCACCCGATTCTCCCGACGACTGGGGAACAGCCAGGACTGGGTGGCCTCCATCCCTTCTGGCCCGCCCTTCCTTGAGTCCTCAAGCTGCCAGCCCAGCACCTGGCACATCCTGGGCACAGAGGCAGAGCCTGGGCTTTAGAGCTGGCACAGAAAGCAGCAGTTTATTGAAGACAGAATTAGGATTGGACCACCTTCCCCGGTCTCTTCCTCCCTCTTCCTTCCTTCCCTCGCTTCCCTTAGGTTTCTGGAGAAACACACTCGGTCGCCCAGGGCCCCAAGGGTATGGCTAGGAGGCATCTCCTTGTGCAGACGCAGAAACTAAGAAGCAGAGAGAAGATACTTGCTCAAGGTCAGGCGGTGGTCAGGTGGTTAGAGGTGGGCTCAGGATGGGAACACCGATTTCCAGCTCCCAGGAACAGGCCCCCTGGTTCCCACGAACCCTGGACGTCCCTCTCCCCGGCTCCCACTCTCCTCCTTGCCCCCCTCCCCCCCATGCTCAGTCCTCCTCCTTCATTCTCAGCTTAGGGGCAGGATGCAATCTGCCCTTTTGGGAGACAGTCCAGCTGGACTTTGCTCTGTGTGGTGGGTGAGAAGGACTTAACATGCTTAAGAACGATCTCTTCTGGAAGGGTCAGTGGGCCTGGCAGCTGAGCACACACGGCCCCAGTGCCCTGCAGATGCCAGCCTCAGCTCATGCCACCCCCACAGTTCAGCCGCTCTGCCCAGCTGAGCCTCTGGTGCCTGGGAGTCATACCCTCGGGTATAATTAGCACTCATAGGCCAACAGACCTGGTCAGCTGGGGTTCCAGAAGGGTCGTGATTGGCTTAGATTGGGCTGCGGAGTGGCTGAAGCTGGGCCAGGTGAGTGAGCACCTCACACTGCCATCCTGGGTGTCCCTCCAACCCCAGTGTCAGGGCGTAGCTTTTCACCCTACGGGGTTGTTTTTTAACAAGCTCTCAAGCTGGACACAGTCACCCTGCTCCCCTACACCCTGATTCTGTGTGCACACTGCCTACTCCCAGGAAACACTCCCCGTCCACCGTCCAGCCCTGCGCCGGTCTCCAGGCTGCAGGCTCCCCGTCCTGGTATCAGCAGCCAGTGCTAATATCTGCTGAGCATGTGCCGTACTTGTGTGTGTGTGTGTGTGTGTCTCATGTGGATACTATGAAGCAAGTCCTAGTGTTTTATCTCCATTCTACAGAGGCGCAGAGAAGGCCAGGGCCAGGCAGCAAGCACCAGAGCCAGGCTTTAAAGTCAGGAAGCCAAGCTGCAGAGGACATACTTTAACTAGTTGCAACGAGGTTCTTTTCATACTGCCCCCAGGCAAGTAGCTGCTTACAGCTTGTTCTGCTCCTTACCTGCCTGCTGGGCCCTCGTCTACAAGCCTGCAGGTTGCACCATCTACAAGCCTGCCGGTTGCACCGGGCAGAAAGGAGCTTGGGCAAGGGGGTGAGTTGAGGCCGAAGTTGTCCTGTGCTGGCCCAGCTGGCGAGGGCTGCATGTACCCAGAGGAAGGGGTCTTTTGCTAAGTCACAGGCCAAGCCAGGGATCCTAGGTACGCATGTCTTCCTACTTTGTAACCAACTGCCAGATTGGCCACAGGTGTGTCCTGTGTAGGCGGGTCCTGCCTCCCCCAGGAGACTTGGCGCTCTCCAGTGCAGGCTGTGTCTCCCCATCCACCTCCTCGCCCCGAGCTGGGATATTTCGGAGGACAGGGGCTGTCTAGGCTCCACCCCCAAGTACAGGACCCCTCTCATCCTCTCCCTGACCTGACCAGCCAACATACAGAGGGAATGTTGGACGCAGGCCAAAGAGCAATGCCCCTCTCACCTGCAAACTCATTGAAATGGTTGCCAATGTCAAAAGCTTGGTAGTTGTAGCCGGCATATTCATAGTCAATGAACCGTACGTGACCTGTGGGGTAGAGAAGCGCGGAGGTCGGCCCTGGAGACCTGGACAAGCCCGGTCACGCTGTGTGCAGCTCACCGCTCCTGTGCTGGCCTCACCCAACCTCTCCAGCAGCATTCTTCAGCTGCTTCCTTCTGTCCGTCCATCTGTCCACCTGCCCTCCCCCACTCCAGCTGTCCCTCTCACAGAGCTAGTCCCTGGGGCTCTCCCCATGTAAAGACATCTGTCCTCAGCATGGTCAAGGGCCAGATTTAAACCAGAGGGCTCCCGCCCTCGCCGGTTTGGCTCAGCGGATGGAGCGTTGGCCTGCGGACTGAAGGGTCCCAGGTTCAATTCCGGTCAAGGGCACGTGCCTGGGTTGCAGGCTTGATCCCCAGTGGGGGTGAGGGTGTGTGCAGGAGGCAGCTGATCAATGATTCTCTCTCATCATTGCTGTTTCTACCTCTCTCTCCCTGTCCCTTTCTCTGAAATAAAAATATATATTTAAAAATAATAATAAAAATAAAGCAAAAGGGTTCCCTGGGGGAAGCTCAGGTCAGGCCACCGGAAGGCTTGAAACAGCCGAGAAGGCGTGGGAAGCCCAAAGCATTGTGGGGGGTGTTGCTCGAGCGCCCTGACATGAAAGGCCTCCACACACCCTGCTGATGAGCCCTTTCCTGGCACAGACTTTCCTAAGGGGGAATTTGCTCCTTTTCCATTTCTCTCCTACAAATGAACTTAAGATCTAAGTGAAAGTCTCCTGTGCTTGTCCCGGGACCAGCCTTGGGAGCAGGACCCTGCCGCCCGCCCGGGCCGATGCAGCCGCACCTTTAGTGCTGTCGTAGATGATGTTCTTGCAGAGCAGGTCGTTGTGACAAAACACCACAGGGGAGCCCAGCTGGGACAGGTGCTCCTTCAGCCAGGCCAGCTCCCGCTCCAGCACCTCCAGCGTGGGGACATCTGCGGAAAGGCTGGGGGGCGAGAGAGGGGACTGAGAAGGGGGTGGTGGTGGCTGAAAGCGGACAGGCAGGGGCTTGGCCTCCTCATGACCTCGTGCTGCAGAGGGAACCTGGACATATGGCCAATCTTTTGTCATCTGCAACATGGCACTAGGGCTTCCTGTCCTGATGACCTGTGGTTACTCTAAGAAGCTGATGGAAACACTGGCTTCAAAGCATTTGCAAAGCACCATCATCCCTGATGGAAGGGCATCCCTGCTGCTTCGTGAAGGAGACAGGGAGGTACTGAAGGAGGCGCAGGGAGGACAGGGAGGTGAGGATGAGTGACCAAACGCACTTATCTCCGAGTAAGAACAGGGGCAGCTGTGCAGGGTGCACAGGCCTGATCTTAGGATGCAGGAGATGCAGGGAGGATTCCTGGGGAAGGGGCCGCTCTAACAAGGCTCCCTGCGAAGTTCCTCAGGGCTGAGCGCAGGGCTGGAGCGCTGGCACGCTCTGGGGGAGGCAGAGATGTGCTGGTCCGTGTCCCTCACGCTCTGGCAGCCGGCGGCACCGGGATCATATAGTTTCACTTCATATCCCACAGGCAGCCATGCAGCCACAGCAGCAAGCAAAGAAGGTGCTGCTTGAGCTCCCTCCTGCGAGGCCCAGGGCACATGGGGACCGTCCAGAGGGAAGCACGGCGGTGCAGCTCCCCGACATCGTGCCTGCCCCCCTGAAGGAGGAGTGTGAGTTTCCTTGTCCCAGAGCCCTGAGGGCCGGATCGTGTGGGCCACCTGAGGGCAGGAACAAAGCACCTGGAGCCCCTCTGCCCCACCCGCTCCCACAGCACACACTGAGGAGTGAATGAATGGGCCCTCAGAGGCCTGGGAAGCTGATGAGGAGACGCTGTGCACAGACGCTCTGAACTGCGGTCCCAGGAAGCACAGGCTCCGTGCACACTAAAGGCCAAGGAGTCAGCAGAGCCCTTAGAAAGAACCCCAGAACCACCCATGGAGGAGGGGAGGGGCTGCGGCGTGTTTCCACGCACGCATCTCCTGTGTGCTCTCTCGTCCGGGGCAGCGAGAGGATGTGCAGGGGGGTGAGAAGGAGAGAGGTCCTCCCAAAGCTCCCACGGGTGCCCACACCCCCAGCCCAGAAACCGGAATGTGTGGAAGAGTCCTCAGCATCTAACGTGTCCCCACGTCCCCCCCGGAGATGGGTGAGTGGCCGACTGCCTCACACTATGAGAAGGTCAAAGCTAAAGAGGATCCTAGGTCTCCAGACGAGCCGCATGGGGACACTGTGGCTCAGGAAGGGCAGTCTTCCTTCCAGCCTCAGGTGTCTCCTGTACAGCTAGACCCTCAGCCCGTCCAAGGATGGGCATCAAGCCAGGCCTCTAACCACGAGGGCCCGGTGCCCCCTGGCGTGCAGGCCCCTGGGAGCGCAGGCATCTGTTAGGGGCTGTCAGGGAGGCCTCCCGACCCCCGACCCCCAACCCCTTCACTGGAGTTTATCTGTAGCCACAGGCTGCATAGCATGCATTTTCCTCTTGGCTCTCCCTAAGAAGCTACCTTTTTTTTTTTTTTTTAAAGATTCTCCTTTTTCTTGGATGGAGACCATCCAAAGATAAAACTGAGGAGGTCTCCTTTGCTTTGCCCAGGTCTCAGTTTGAAAAACATGGCTTTGCCATCCAAGATGCCTGCTGCCCAGGCCCTGACCTCCGCCTGACCCCACACTACCCACCCCAAGGCCACACAGATGGTTACCGTGGGAACAATCCTGACCTCCCTCCCTCGCCCGAGCACCTGGACCCTCGCCAGCACAGCGTCCCTCAGCCCCGACACCCCATCCTCTCCAGGGCTGAGGGCCTGGCAGGGGGGGGCATCTTGGAGACTTTCACACGCCAGGCAGCGGCTCCTGTCCCTCTGAGGCCACGGGGGCGGGTGACGGGGCCTGGGGTTCTCCCTGATGAAGGGACGGATGCCTGGCCAGTGCCCACTCAGCTCTCGGGATCGGAGTGGGAAAACAAGACCCTTGTACCCAGGGTAATCTGTCTTCCCCTAGCGTATCGCTGACCATGACCTTTCCTCCCTGAAGATAACATCTCGGCCTCAGTTGTATTTCAGCTCCAGGCCCAGAAAAGCAGCAAAACCAGACAAGTAGCGTAGCTGCCTCAGGACCAGCTGCAGTGACTAATGACGCTGCCCTGACGGCAACCAATCAGTGGAGACCACGACCTAAAAAAGCACACCTGGAAGGCTGATGAACATTCTACTGAGAACCTCCCCCCAAGACCTCCCCTAGGATTTCCACCTGCAAGAGAGAGACATATTCTCAGGACGAGGGGCCCAGCCGCAAAGTGCTCTCCCTTCAAGGAGCCATTCCCTTCCCCTCTTCCCTATAAGAGGCCCCAACCAGGGGCGCAACAGGCAGCGGCAGCTCATCCCGGCCACTCCCCGAACCTGTCTCCCAGGCAGGTTCCCTAAGCCAGAGCAGCCCGGCCGAGGCTCCCCGGTGGCTTCCTCTATGCCCTTCCTTGTGTCACTGTCCTACGTGTGTTACTGCCGTCATCATGGACCCAGTACCCTTTGGCTCAGTGCTGGGCAGCCCTTCCCTTTGGACATCCCCCATTCTCTGCCTCCGTTTCCTTAAATAAATTCAATTTTTCTTTATTCACCGTCTGAGATGGCTATTTAGCCTTCCCGCACATCAGCGACTTTCACCTTTCACCTAGTTCTAACTGTTTGTTGCCCATTCCATTGTAACACTCCTCCAGCTGGTCTCCCTACCCCAATCCCTGCTTCCCTAACTCCCACCTCCACCACGTCCTGGGCAGGTTACTGACCTGAGTCCCCCCGCTCAAACACCTTCACAATTACTTTCCACTGCAGCCAAATTCCTTAACCTGACCTTCAAGGCCCCCTCACACGCTAGCTTCAGCTCACACGACCCCTGCAGCTCTCTCTCCAGACCCCTCCCAACCCTTCCTGAAGATCTGCTCTGGCCAACTCGTCTACCCCTCAACCACGAGCAAGCTGTGCTCAGGCCACCTCCTCCAGCCGGAGCGCCTCCCTTCCCATCTCTGCCAGGAAGACCGTCCCTGGTTCTCCTACCCCTGGCGCGCATTACACACCCTGCCTCCTTCCATGGCTCTGCGCGGGCGGGTCCTCTTTACCCAGAGGGACCCTAAGCTTCTGTGGGCAGAGCCAATGCCACCTTGGTATTTTTATTGTTTTAAATCCCAATCAATCCGTGCGTGTGAAATGAAGGATGGACTACATCAGGGTTATTAGGAAAATTACGAGACAGGGTTATTACAGGACTCAGGTGCTGCATCTTGTCTGAGTGGTTGCTCATCACAGCCTGCTCTGGGGTATCGTGGGCAAGGGCAGGGCGGGCATCACCCCCTAAAGAGGCTTAAGAAAATTAAGCAAGTTGATTTGCTCAAGGTCAAAAGTGTGACAAGAACAAAGGGAGTTGGTCAGCTCTTCTCCAGAGAAGACTCTCCTCCCAACAAGGTCACCTCCCCCCCCCTCCCCCCCACCAAAGGATACACAGTGACCGCAGATTCAAAAGAAGCTGCAGTGGCAAGGATTATGCCTGAGCATCAGGCCTGGACTCTAGTCCTCGAGTTGCCACTGATGGCAATGACCTTGGGCAAGTCCTATCCCCACCCAGGGTCTCAGTTTCTTAATCTGTCAAATGGAAGAGGTGGGCTGGGGGATCTCAGGTCCTGTTGGCTGAGATGCCAGGGGATCCTACCCTCTGTGTGCTGTTCTAGTCCCAAGAGGCAAGGCGGCTCCTGTCCCAGAGATAACACTTGACATAGAAGGTCTGAACATGGGCCATGCTGGACAGAGTCCCAAAGCAGCGTCTGATCATCCTTAAGTGGGAGGACCCAGATAAGGCATCCTGTGTGCGAGCGTGTGACAGGGACACACGATCGGGAGAGATGCCATTCATGTCTTGTCATCTTCAAGGACGGAAGGAGGTACCCTGTCCTCAGACCTGTGTACCCCATCCCATGAACATCTGGAAAAAGGGTGTTCAAGCCTTTTTGGGGGGGAAGGGCGGGCAAGGTGACACCACTCTTTCTTCCTTGCCCCCATTGTTGACTCAACACTCAAGAGTAAGCGGGTGAGTCAGGTATCTGGAGCTAGAAGGGCTCTCAGATGGCTTATCTGGGAGTCCTGTCTTATCTGGGGAAAGGTGATGTCACGATGATGATGGAAAGAGCAGAGAGGAAACAGCAAGCTGTCAGTCGGAATAAGGTGGAAAGCAAGGCAGGGGTGGGGGTGAGGGTGGGGCACGAGGGGATGAGAGGCATCCAGACAAGCAGCAGGGGTCTTGGTGTCCCAAGGCCTTCTCAGCTGATGAGCTGACTTCTGACTGGCTTTAACAGCCTCACCACTTACCCAGAGGGCGGGCTTCCCTCCTCAGGCTAGAGGCAGCTCAAGTAGCCCTGACACTGGGCAAAGCTGAGCTCTGAGCCTCGGTGCCCTTTAAGTAAAATGGGAGATACTGTCCCTGACCCTAGGCCCTGCCACAACCAGCAGACTCACGAAGAAAGAAGCAGCCCTGGCCGGTGTTGCTCAGTGCTTACAGGGTCATCTCGTGCATTGAAGGGTCTCAGGTTCAATCCCTGGTCAGGCTGCCTGCAGGAGGCAGCTGATAGATGTTTCTCTCTCTCTCTCTCTTTCTCTCCCTCCCTCCCTCCCTTCTTCTTCTCTTTTTAGAACAGTGGTTCTCAACCTTCCTCATGCCGTGGACCCTTTAATACAGTTCCTCATGTTGTGGTGACCCCCAACCATAAAATTATTTTCGTTGCTACTTCATAACTGTAATTTTGCTACTGTTATGAACCGTAATATAAATATCTGATCTGCAGGATGTATTTAGGCGCCCCCTGTGAAAGGATCGTTCGATCCCCAAAGGGGTCGCGACCCACAGGTTGAGAACCGCTGCTGTAGAATCAATGACAACAACAACCTATCCTCGGGTGAGGACTGAAAGAAGAAGAAGCAAGAAGCACATGCATGGGGCTAAAACTGTGGATCCAAGGTCCTCAGCTTTCTCAATTGGCCCCACTCCCCCTGGCAAGAGAGGCTCAGCGGGGGGGACTGGAC